TCTTGGACTTAATTTGCTCTCTTGGAGAGTATGTTGAGTAGGTTGCACATCCTCTTCTTAGTTTGGGGAAGAGGTCTAACCATTGCTTCGAGAGAGTGTTCTCAGATTTTTTGTCACTAGTATACTGTGTTGTATCCTTTGTTAAGAGATGATGATAAGGATTTTCATCAGAGAAGTTTATTCTAGAGTGATTGGCTAGATCACGTAAAGGATCTGGTTTTTCTGTGTTTTCTCCAGACACGTGTTTTGTTTTGTTGTTTTGTATATTGTTGTCCTTTTATTGAGATGTGTTTGAGAGTAGCCAAGTGTTTTCTTGTTTTGTCAAGTCAGCCTAACTTTCTTTGTTGCTTGTTTGTGAACTTGTGTTTGTAATTTTGTTAAGCTTATAGGCTATATTTGTATTTGTATCTGTTGGTTTAGATTTAGACAAAAAAGCTCCTGTTAAGTCTTTATTGTTGGTGATCCTGTCTGTCAAGTCAAACATTTTGTATTTTTTATATATTTGATTTAAAGAAACTACTTAGTTGTGTTTTCTTTTTAGTAGAACAAGGGTTTCAGCTCTTGTTACTTGTAGCTTAGATGAGTTTTCCTTTCTTTGTAAAGTAGTTATCTTGTTTTTAATAAAATCTCTTTTCCTGCCGAATATGTACAGAAAAGAGTTATGAAGATCCTTTTATTAGACTATTTCAATTATTTTTAAATTAGTTGTATTGGCTAAATTTTGTTGATCTAAAGAGAATTCATTAAGAAGGTCTTGATCCAACTCAACTTCAAGAACAAATTTTATGGGATCATTGAATATTTCAGTTTCTTCAAACTTCTTGGCGATGATTTCATATACTTTATCCAAATCATATATCATTATCTCTAAATTATTATCACTTCGAATATTATTCTTGCTTTTATTATAGGTAATACTTCCAGAATTAATAGAAATAATATTGTCAAAATCATTAATGGTGGTATCAGAAACACTGACATTATTATCAGAATCATTAAAAATATCAGAAGAGATAGTACTCGAGTTGTTAAAAATATCAAGAGCAATAGTACCAGAGTTATTAGATATATTAGTATTAAAGATATCACAGATAATGTTAGAATCATTTAGGGCAATATTACCAAAGCTAGCTGAGGTGCCTATACCGAGTTTATCAGAAGTAATGTCACTAATTTGGACTTCTCATTTTGCTTTTTTTGTGTTTTTTGTTTCTTTTCACTTTTTAGCACTTCTTTCAACACATCAGTTGCATGTATTATTTTTCTCTTGTTTTTCATCAAAAAGATAAATAAAGTGCTCAACACTTCTTTTAACATATCAAAGATTGCATATTTTTTTAGTAATTTCTTGAGAACTTTCACTCATCATTTGTATTTTATCAATGTTTATTAAATAAATTTAAATACAGAAGAAAATATGTAACTGTTTAGATAATTTTTATTTGAATTTTGAATTTTAATAAAGATCGAAGCAACAACCTTTATATATACTTTTATTATGATATATATTTTTTTTGAACATATTATTTATAAAGCATTTACTATTATAAATAACTATATTAGTTGTTCAATTATATCTTTAATTATTTGATTTCTTTATTTTTTATTTCCAAACTCGACTTTGAATTATTATAAAAGATAGAATTTGGCTAGATAATAATGATAACTAAAAATAAATTGAAAAGAACTTTAATTCATTATAACTAAATATAGGTCAAAAAAAGTGAAGAAATATGCATAAAATCTCAGATTTTACTATGCATGTGGCCAAATTGATTATAACATTAATACCTTGTAGTCACATGATAATCGTGAACACAGTTCATGATCAAAATAAGGTATTTAGGCCCCACTGCAATAAGAAAATAAAAAAGTGCCATTAGTAACTAATTAAAAAAGATAAAAATTACAAGAACTAAAAATTTAAAAAGATACTAATAAAACACCTCTATGTATCCTGTGACTTCTGTAGAACCAAAAAAGCCAGAGCTCCAGAGAATAGAATAACTAACCTAAACAAGAAAATAACCAAGCTAAAGAAAATTTGGTGCTAGTATACTCAGGCCAAATGGGGAAATAACTTGCTTCCAGCAGAAGCGATGGTTAATATACTAAAA